AAAGAGACGAGGAATAGACTAAAGTTGAAACTCGACCGAGTGCTGAGACGAAAAATTGGAGTGAGTGTCAGGAGAAAGACAACAGTTAAATATCCATATTGTAGCACGATTCTTAAGACGGAGGTGAGAAGGGTAGTGGAAGATATTATTGAGGCGAAGGTGACGAACGAACCTGTTGCCCCATTTGTGAAAGGAGAATCAGGATCATGTGTACGAGGAATAGAAAGGTGGGAGAAATCATACATGCACACACATTACCGGTCAAATGCACATGCTTGGCACACGATTTACCGAGGCATGAGGGACATGTGCTTACGACACTGGCTGATCTGACGGGCATACCTGATTTTGTGGAGAATTTGAGGAACGTTAAGCGTAGCGGGAACCCAAACAGGAAACGTGATTTACTGCTAGGGATCCTGACTGCTACCTCGTTCCTTAAGCATGTGGATGAGAGTCAGATAGATGTTGGCAGATGTTTTTCGACGCTATCGAGATAGGACTCCTCTTGGTCTGATTATGAAGTTCAAAGTTGGGCAGCCAGATTTGGTGGTCTCGTGCTCACGCCAATAGATCGTAATGTCGGCGATACTGCGATCATTTGCCCTGTACTATATAGGCATGCCTACGGTAGCATGTTCACATGGAACGCAGCCTATGAAACGGTGAGATGTACTGAGAAGTAAGTACTCGACCTGAGCAAGACAGAGCACGAGGAAAAAGGACTCAAGGCGGTGGGGAACTGGAAGACTGATGGAAATCTTGGAGATCCTATATCATCCCAAAGGATAAGGATCTGCACCGTTGGAGACCGATTGCGCCTGCTTCCAATGACCCAGTGGGACTGGGACAGAGATGTGAGAGGGCTCTGTATTGCCTGGTGACCAGATATGCGAGCGAGTTTAATTTCCATCTCAATTCAGCCAAGACTTCGGAGGAAAAGTTGCTGACTACCTCTGAATCGCTTCAAGGACTGGGTTGTACTGCGGCCATGGGCAGGTGCTTCGACAACAAGGAGATGTTTTCCTCGATCCCGCATGTCGCCGTTAAAGATGCAGTCTTTCGTTTGATATGGAGCTTCGAGAACCGAGGACGGGAGCAGGTTAGAGTTGCGACGAGGGTTAAGCAATGCGTACTTTCTAAGACGGGTAGGGGAGAATATGGGTATGTTAAGGTCAAATTGGAGACCATTTTCAAAATGGCTGAATATGATCTTATACATGTGTACATGGTGTGTGGGGAGGTGATTAAAAGACAGACTGTTGGTATCCCAATGGGTAAGGTTATATGAGTCCGGTACTAGCAATTCTAACCTGTATGATGGCACAATCGAACTTTCTGAGATCCTTTGGAGTGGACAGGCATCTTGTTAAGGGCTGGAGGATGGTCGATGACATTTCGATTGTCGTTGGGTGCAATGATGGAGTGGAGTCCTCGGAGAAGGCGAAGAAGATTCTGGACTCATACGAAGAATTGTACGATAAGAATCTGAAACTTGTTAGAAAGGATGAAGATACCAACCGTTGGAGCTTCATAGGGGGTTGGATGTATGTCATGGCTGCACCAGTCCATATACACTTCGTTCAAGACACTAAGAATGCGGATTCACTACGCGAGAGTAAGAGGTTACGGTACCAATCAATGCAAGACTACACGAGTTATTCAGATAAGAGGACCAAGAAGGGGGTACTATCAGCGACTTTGAAGCGGCTGTGGTTTTCATCTACATCCGGGGCACTGTGTATAAGCTCGGTGATGTATGCTCGTCTAGAAAGTCACCTCCGGGGCTACCCCCCGGAGGTCTCTCTCGGGTCCTTGGCCAAGTTGGCCAAGGTTATGGGGGAATCGACCCTGGTGGCATTATGGGGTACGTTACAGTCACTTTGGGAAAAAAAACGGGAGGTTGTACTCAAGACTTCGGACCCGTCACCGACAACCCGCGGCTCAGATTTTGGCTCAGGCGGTAACCGTATCCCATTGTGAGCGACTGACAACGGACTGGGCTCACTAGACATACCTGGTACATTGTGGGTTTTTTTTGTTTTATTTTATTTTATTTTATTCTGCTTTTATTTATTTATTTGTTTGCGGCTTTTCGGATGTTTTCGTCGGGACCGCGTCTCTTGAGGCGGTCAGCATCCCTAGTTTGCAGCATTGGGTGGCATACGGCGAGCCTTTATTTTATTTTTATTTTATTTTTCAGAGTAGGATGAGGACACTCGGGCTACGGAACACCACACACGGGAAAATAACCCTCTCATCAAGTTTCATGCTGCAGAGACATGAGACGTGGTTAGAAAACTGCGTACCCCACTTGAGTCCAACCAAGTCTGACCAAACAAGCACGAGATGCAATTGCAGGAACCCTATCACAATGAAATCTGACTGCTACCCATCGAAACACACCTTAGTTAACAGGACTAGCAACAAAATTGTGTTCTTATTGAATGGAAATAACTAGGATGTCGGTATAGCGGCTATAATACATCTATTGAGGTCGATGGATCTACCTCGTTTCAGGACCAGGTACCGAAGCTCGAGATCCATGTCCAAATTCAGATCTTAGTACAGTAATTTGAGATCAGCGGAGAACTCTGATACGGAATCGTTGGTAGGAAGAGCCTAAGGGTTGACTGAGGATAAGAGCTCGCAGAGGCAAGGCACAAGGCCTCTCTTTCAACTGAAGCATTTCTACGCACCTTCCTGATGGGTCCGTTGCAGACGGACGAAACCGGTGGAGGGACCTGCACTGTCTATGTTTTGAGAAGACTATGGCTATGGTGGCATGCGTCTGTATGTGTGAGAAGTGGATC